TACTATAACTTTTTTCTTTATAAAATATTTAAATTTTAAACTTCATAATTAATAATTATGATTTGAGTATACATTCTGAAAATAATGTCTCTCTCCGAAGTTAATGTATAAATAATGAGTCAATTGACGTCTATTAAGATTCAAATTCAAACCATATTCTTGACAATAATAAATAGACCAAATTCAAAGTGGGGAAAACATAGATAGAGAAGTTTCCTTTTCTCTAGTCATGGGGCCTAATAAGTACATGTTGATATTGGTGTGAATGTGAAATAGACATAGTAACCACTAATAAGTCTAGTATTGTGCATTACCAAACAACCCACGTCTATTTTGGATTAAAAAGAGCAAAAGGAAAGTGTGTGGGTGAAAGAATAAAAAAGAATCAAACAAACAACCATATCTCTTGCCATCTTTCTATAATCTAAAAGGACCTAAAAAGGCCATAGAATTTGCTAAATTGGCGGTCCCTTTCATTGCATGGATGCTAGAGTTGGGTGAATTGGGGCATCCCCTAATGAGCTGAAAACAACACCCATGTTCTGTCCTTTGTTCTCTTCCCCTTCATCCACCTTTTTTTTTTTTTTTTTATGCTCTCTCTCTCTCTCTAAATTTCAATATTTTTAACAATACCCATAATTTCTAAAATGCAATTTTCCAATATTTCAATCATTTTTAACATACTATAGTTTTGCCCAAGTGATTTCAATCATTCTAATCTTCAATTAAGGTTAGGTGATTTGAAACATATCTTTAAAGAGCTCCCACAAATATGATTTTAATATCTCCTTGATTGACACATAATAAAAGTTGATAAGGAAATCTACAGCCTTCAAAGAAGAGGACAAACTTATTCAGCTCCTTCCCTAGATAATATTCCCAACGCTCATTTTCTTTTTCTCACCTTTCAAAATATTGACAAAAGTTGTTCATGGACCAATCAATGTGCACACCTAATCTTTCAAAGTGGCATAATTGAGACTATCATGTGGGCACAAGAATTTTGTAGGAAACATAATGATAATTGATCAACTTTTTTTTGGTTAAAAATTTGGGTCAAAGAAAGCTTGATTAGTCTAGACGGTTGCTTTAAAAGGAGAACAACACACGTATTTTCTAATTATTATACTTGAATAAAAATAACCAATATCCCTCTAATATTGGCCATGAAATGCCTATTCATTACCTAATCCCATTCTAAATGATTTTTTTTGGTCTTATTCTTAGCTTTTCACATGATGATGTGTGGCTTCTCGATCTTACACTAATTTCTTATACTATTGGCCAATCAGATACGTTGAGTAATTCACACCCACAACATTCATAAGAATTACTCATTGCAACAAAAACTAGTACTAGAAAGAAAGATTTAGCCCATTTACTCTAAATTTTAGGATAAATGACTTTATTTCACATTTATATGCATCAAAGTCATACAATCTACTTCTACCTCATAGGTTAAGTGATTGCAACAAACTTTAGCTTGGCCAAAACAAAGAGCAAATAATGCACTTTAAATGCCCACCGACTTTTCTTTTATCTTTTCTCATGTCAAATACAAACACTCGAAGCTTCGCTGACTTTATTCTCCTCATAATTTTTTTTTTTTGTATTTTTTTATGTAAATGAATTATTTTCTTGTATTTTCTCTAAGAGGTGATTTTCTTTTCTTTCTTTTTTTTTTTTTTTCCTAGTCGGAGTTTTTTGGGCGTATATGTTTCACACTTTGACCAATAAAAATGAATTGCATAAATACATGTAAATAACCAGCCATGAATTGAATCACCAACCACAACAATACCATGTGCCTACATCTTTACAACTCCTCCTTCCCCACCCATATAGTGTGAACATTTAATCCCTACATATATATATATATAATATTTAGTCTCTTAATCTATGTCTCCACACGCATAAAATATGTCAAGAATAGAATTTGTTCTGTCGAACTAAAATTTCATTTGCATCAGTACGTTTATTAATGTTTAAACATTCTTTATCCATATTTGGATAAAAAAATATTTAAATTTTAATATATGATATATTTTCGCGCATACTTTAAAATTAAACACATTAGAAAATATATACATGTATAATGAAATTTAATGAAATTTTGATAATTTAGAAAATATTGGTGATCTATGTAACAATTAAACAACGTGTCCGAAAGCTTAAAACATTGGCATTATCCATATTACCTTAATAATAAGAATTTTTTTTTTATAATAATCTAATTAAAAACACATTAAAATAAAGAAACGTATATAAAATTAAACTGATTTAATATCTTTACGGTGGAGCATATTCTTTTTGTACTATTTTAATTTTTATTATTAAATTAGTTTTTAAATGGTTAAGAATGTATTTGGTATGAGAATTTGTGTCATGATTCAAATTATAATTCGTACCTCAGTATAATATTTTTTCATAAAAAATACACATAAATTAAAAATAATTTTAAATCATAATTTTAAATTCGTGAACCAAACGTTTACTAAATTTATAAATACCTCGTTCATTTCACCGATTCGAGTTTTCAGTTTTAGGTTTCTACAGTAAAAAGCTCTCAGAAAATGTCATATTTAACTTTTTTGTTACAGTGAAAAGCTCTCTGAAAATGTTACATCTCAGCTCAAATTGAAACTCAAATCTGTGAAGTAAACGAGATAAAAATTCATATGAAAAAATTTATAACAAATTACACATAATGATTTTTATCGAAAATCGAGCCGTTAAAAAATTAACTTAGCGGTAATGAGTCATTGGATTTTAGGACCAGGACAGTATAAAAAGTAACAGAAAATACCAAAGAGAAAAATAAAAAAGAAAAAGAAAGAGGCTTACAGTTGTTATGCGACAGCAAGGCAGTGATTGGGGGGATTGCTACTGGAATTTAGGGATGAGAGAATTTGTCGGCTGTCCTTTTATTTTCTCCCTCTTTTGCTTTTGGGCACTCCCAACAAATTCTTTTGTTACAGCGACCACGTGGCCACCCTAGTGAAATTCCCAAACTGCTCTCCATCCTCATTGCTGGAAAATAATTAAGGACCGTTTAATTCGTTGATTTAAGTTTTTAATTTGAATTTAGATGTGATTTTATATGAGTATTTTTTATTGTAACTAAAAAGTTAGATGTGATTATTTCTGAGAACTTTTTACTATAGTAAAAATTAAATTCTAAACTCGAATCAGTAAAATAAACGGGACCTTAAAATTTCACCTTTTAAGGGTATTAATGTCTTTTCAGGAAGCAACTATATTATCTTGTTTAATTAATTATTAATGAGACATTTAGATCGTAAATTTAATTTATGATTTTAATTTTTAAAATTTAAATTTTTTATAAAAAAATTCTATAAAAAATTAATAACTATAATTTAAAATTATAGATAAATTTTTAAAATAAACATCTCATAAATATTAATTAAAACTAGGGAGAGAGATATATATTTTTTATTTTTTTTAAGGAGAGAGAGACCTTTTTTAGGTGCACCTTTCTATGGGTGTCTTGGAATCCGCGAATTGATATTTGAAACCCAAGACAGCTTTTTTCTATCTTACTGCAAAACGACGTCGTTGATTCCCCAACAAACAAACAACACTTCAACATAAGATTTTTCCCCCTTTTTCTTTTTTTTCTTTTTTTTTTTTTTACGGCGTTTTGCTTAAATAACTTAACAGTCAACATTGGACAATAAAAAATAATAAAAGCAAAAATAGAAAAAGCTTAATACCTCTGTACTCGAAAGCTTATTAACCAAAAAAAAAAGTCTGTACTTATTAATCCGTCCGATCCTTTATAAATAAGAAATGTAATACGACATTATTTTTTTGAAATAATATAAAACGATATTTATTTCATATTTTTAATTAAAATAATTAACGATTTAATTCTTTTTCTACTCATTAGTTAAATGGTTAATAATTTTAAAGAACGCCTTTTACACTAACTGATATTAGTCATTTAGTTTTTTGTATTATTCTATTAATGTAAAAGTTTTTTTTTTTCAAATTCAATAAAGTTATCTATATTGTAAATTTAATAATATTAAAATAATTTATATTTAGGTAACATAAAGAGTATGGTTAGACTGAATTATTTAAAAATTATTAGTTAAAATAACTTTTTAATCATTTTAGCTAAAATTTAACTAAACTTTAGAGATTCTTTAGAGAAGCTTAAAAAAATAAATAATAATGCTATTAATTTATGTTTAATAGAATGTTAAATCTTCTTACTTTACATATAAGACTGATTTTTCGTGAAAGATTTACACCTGTTCACGTATAAATATAGAATTAGTAAATCTCAATTCGTCTAATATAGTAAGGTAAATCTACTAAAAAAAGCTATATAAATATGATTATAATGAGGCATTTTTAACTTATGTAAAAATAATATTAAGTAGTATTACGTAAAATAAATGTTTAATAAAAACTTGAAATAAACATCTTTAGCATCTGATTTCTACCTCAAGTCTTTGGCTGTGTATATACATGATACACATAATTGAGAAAAAAAAAATTAATTTTCAATTAATTTCACCGATTTAAATTTAAAATTTAAATTTTGTTATAATAAAAAATTATAAAAAATAATTATATTTAATTTTTTTATTATAATAAAATAATTTTATATAAAATTATATTTTAATTTAAATTAAAAAACTAAACAGACTTTAAGTAAATAAATAAAACTAAAAAAAAGCAAAAAAAAAGTAAAGCTAAAAAAAAAATCCAACAAATTTATTATGTATGTTGGGACGTAATTTCAGGTTAGAAGAACCGTACACGATCTTAGAGAGAGAAACGGTGAAATACCCACATTCCATTATACTTTCTAGAGAGAGAAAGAGAAACGAAAAAGCAGTGGAGCTAAGGCTGCTAAGCTAGCTCCGATCATCATTCTTCCTTCATTCACTAATCTTCACCAGCTTATATATATATATATATATATATATATACACGCACTGAGCAAAATCATTTCTGTTTTTCTTTTCTCTTTTGGAGTGACCAAAAAGCAAAAAAAGGAACAAAAAAAAAAAAAAACATTTTTGGGCAGTGGGGTATATGGGTTTTTGGCTTTAAGCTTTCTCACCGCTTTCGATTTTGCTTCACAACCTACACACACCTAGTTAAAAGGTACTTTTTCTTTTTTTCTCTTCTTTTCTTTCTCCTTAACTTTCTTAATCATCTTTTTTTGCTCAATTATTATACGCATTACAAAACTCTCACTGTTTCAAAGCTAAGCTTAGCTCTCTACTGTGCAACATATATAATTGTTTTTTTTTTCAAGCTCTATTATTATTATACATGTGAGTTGTTTGTTTCATTTCAGTCTTCTGGGTCACTGAATTTTCCACTAGTTTCTCTGTTTTTCTTCAAGTTTTGGTGTTTTTCGGTAGATTTGGGATCTGAGTCTTGCTCAGATTTGGGTTTCATAGTGTTTGTTTTGTTATTTGTATAGAGAGAGAAAGTTCTAGACAGAGAATGGCAGGAGGAGGAGCTGGTCCGAAGGCAGACGAGCCACAGCCACATCCACCAAAGGATCAGCTACCCGGAATCTCTTACTGCATTACCAGTCCACCTACATGGCGTGAGTTTTCTTTTTTCTTTTTTTTCGGTTTTTTTCTTCTTTGTTTTTGGTTGTTATCTTGATTTGTGATTCTGAAATCTTGTTTCTTCATGATGAAAGTGTTGGATTATTCAATTATTATGATTTTTTTGGGTTTTTTTTGTTAGTAGTCTGATTCTTCTGGATCCTTTAGGTATATTTTGTGTATGTTCTTTTCTTTTGGTGGTTTTGTTTATTTATTTGTTTAATTTATTTCTTTTCGGCTCTTTATCCTTTGTACGTAATTGTTGAAACTTGAAAGTAGCTTTTCTAAGTTGCCTTGCCTCTTTATCTTTGCCAGACACAGATACCACTTTACATAAAGGAATGTTATTCTTTTGAAAAGACGAAAGAAATTAAGCTGATTATATTGATAAGTCTGTACCACCAAAAAGGAAAAAAAAAAGGGAAAAGGAGAAAATAAATCCAATCATGTAAGAAAGGAAATAATTTTTTTCTTTTCTTGTTCCTATTGGTATTTGTGAGAATTATTGTTTAATTTCTTCCTGATAATTAATTCTTTATATTAATTATGTCCTTCCTACTTCCTGATAATATTTTAGGGTCTTAGGATCTTGTTTTCTTTTGTTTTAGTTGTTATCTAAGAATATACCTACTGCTAAATACGTTGACTCCACTTTGACTGTATTTCTATGCAAATGATATAAGATGAGAGAATTCTGTGGTAGGGGTACGAAATATTACTCTATATGTTGGACACAATCTCCAACTGTCAAATCATGTCAGAATCATTATCGGGTTAAGAAAATATGGCATAACCAAAATTAACAAGCATTTGACGATTAAAGGTTGTGCCTTGCTAGTAGGTTATTTTTTCATACCGTAGTCCCTACCATAGAATTCTCCCACAAAATGTTTCTATTCCAATGTCACTTTTTAATATTATCTATACGTTTCTTACCTAACATATGGGAATGGTTGCTTGAGCATCTCTTAACATCATGACAAATTTGGTGAAATTTTAAATGGACTTATTTTTGCACTTGGGTAATCTGGAATCTTTGTAAGTCATTTGAGCAAAATTCTATTGTTACTCTCACCTACCATTCTAATGACTAATGAGGTTTATGAAATATTTACTCATTAAAACGGTGGCCCATTTCTGATGCAGCTGAGGCCATTCTGCTTGGTTTTCAGCATTATCTTGTGATGCTTGGCACCACGGTTCTCATTCCCACTGCTCTTGTTCCCCAGATGGGAGGTGGAAATGTAAGGCCTAAGAAGGAATTTCACTTATATCATTGTTGATTTGATTTGATATATCAATAATGATTCATTGAATCATCGTATTTGCCAACTTTTAGGACGAGAAGGCTAAGGTGATCCAGACGCTGCTCTTGGTCGCCGGTTTGAACACATTGCTGCAGACAATGTTTGGGACTCGATTACCTGCTGTTATTGGGGGGTCGTATACCTTTGTTCCCACCACAATTTCAATTATCCTTGCCGGTCGATTCAACGATTCCTCAGATCCTGATGAGGTTTCACCATCTGAACACCTTAACATTTAACTTTGTGGTGTTCTTATAAAACATCAAGCTGATTATTAATGACTAATTCAATACACATTCAGTTTCATGTTAACCATACTTTTGGAACTCCAAGAGTAGCTCAACTGGCCTTGGATTTCTTTTTACAAGTGGGATGTAGCGCCTAGTGGGCCACTCATCCAGAGTTTAATTGGGGCTTATCAGATCCACATGGTTTGTGGGGATCCCTCCCAAGGGCCGAAAGAAAATATTTCTGATTTTTATTGACATTGTCATTGATTGAATTATGAAAGTTTTCAATTTCCTTATGGGATTTCATTTCAATAGTTTAAGATGAAGAAAATTGGTGTTCTTGAAGATTACATAAGTCTCATTGACATTGAAAGTTTCTGTTCTCATATTGAGAATGTTCTTATATCATTCCAGAGATTTAAAAGGACAATGCGAGCAATTCAGGGTTCTCTCATTATTGCTTCAACTCTTCAGATTGTCTTGGGTTTCAGTGGCCTTTGGCGCAACGTCACCAGGTTGGTTCACATTAGATAATATTCAGTAATGCCTGAACAATTTGGATGAATTATTAGCAAATAATTGTGATTGGTTGGCTTGCATGGGTTGGGCTCACATGAGACCATTATTAAAAAAAAAAAAAAAAAACTGAGTGACTATATTCCATATGGTGCTAAGTAATGAATGCTTGATATTACTTGAATCGAAAGTACAAGTTAACTCAACTTTTTATACACTTTTCGCTGTTTTCTTTGCAGGAGTATTTTTAAAACAAGAATCCAAACTTAAAATTTGTGATGCTAAATTTTTTATTTTTTCATTTTTTTGTCAGGTTTTTAAGTCCACTTTCAGCTGTTCCTTTGGTAGGTCTAGTTGGTTTTGGCCTCTATGAGTTAGGTTTTCCTGGGGTACGTGTTCTTTCCGCACAGTGCACATTAATGCATGAACCGAATTTCATTGTGACGATTGTTCGCTAATGATTCTCCTGGATGTTTAGGTTGCCAAATGTGTTGAGATTGGACTTCCACAGCTTATTCTTTTAGTCTTTGTTTCACAGGTGAAGTATTCTGATAACCATAAAAGCTGTTGCTTTTCTAGCTTTAGTGTCTCTCTAACTCTGTTCTGTTGCCTGTTTCTTTATTGCTAAGATGGTTTTCGTCAATAACTGCTGTGCAGTATTTGCCGCACATATTTCACACAGGAAAGCATGTCTTTGACCGGTTTGCTGTCATATTTACGGTGGTGATTGTGTGGATTTATGCCCACCTGCTCACTGTTGGTGGGGCATACAATGATGCAGCCCCCAAAACACAAACAAGCTGCCGTACTGATCGGGCAGGACTTATTGATGCTGCTCCATGGTTAGTATAGATTGTGTTCTTGGTGTTAGTTTCTCTTTCCAACATTTCTACTATGTTAAATACCTATCTTTGTATCAATAATTTAATCCCAGGTTCAGTAGCTTTACAGATGGTTGTATGCCTATGACAACGATGATGCTTTTTATCATCATTTTTGTTGTTGGTATAGATGTTAGTAACTTGTTTATTTGACTTTCAGTTCTTAGGAGTATGCATTATTCTTTTAAAAAAAAATTTATGGAATCATAATTCGTTTCACTTAGATGTATAATTAACTCACTTGTGTAACTGGTTGGAGAGCGGGGAAGGAGAAAGAGAACACGGGCATGGCTTGGTGTTCTTATCGATTAACAGTATAAAATCGTCCTTACAAGAATTTGGTTGTGCAGGATAAGAGTTCCTTACCCATTTCAATGGGGAGCACCTTCTTTTGATGCTGGTGAAGCCTTTGCCATGATGATGGCTTCTTTTGTTGCTCTTGTGGAGGTCAGTTTTCTCCGGCCCTTTTCACTTTTTTTACTAGCTTAAAATGAAAAACCAAAAGGCAATTTCCTTTATCACCACTCTTTTCTTTTCACTGCCAATTTATTTGTACCTTCTCAATTATTTTCAGTGTCTTGCTTTGAATTCCACGTATGGGTTTTTGATGTGTGATTACCTTTTATTCTCCAATCTTTAAAAGCATTGAATTTCATATTATATTCAAATTCTTTGAATGAAAGGACAGTTTTTTTTAAATTTAATTTAATTAATTAATTAATTATTATTATTATTATTATTTTATTTATTTATTTTTAACTTTGTTCGAAACTACAAAACCCTTTTAGGCATAATCAAATGCTACCATGCCTGATAGATACTTTTCTCGATTCAATCCACATTTTTTTTGAAGCTTATGTAATTTCGTCCAATTGATGAGTGATTTCTAACATATGACGAACGATGTAAACAGTCCACTGGTGCTTTTATTGCGGTTGCAAGGTATGCTAGTGCTACGGCGATTCCACCTTCTATTCTCAGCCGCGGAGTTGGTTGGCAGGTATGAAAAATGTCCCCTTTACATGACACAATGTGTGAAATTTATCCAAATTTTGGTACACCACGTCTGCATTTATTCCATTTCCACCGTAACTTCTATTGTCCTTTGGATGCGTTTGTAGGCTAGTGTACCATAGATGTAACACTTGTACTCCATATTTGGTATGTCTACTTTCTATGTTTCAGCATCAGGCAGATTAAAAATTCACAAAATAGAAAAGCTTGCCCATCTTGTACGAAAGATTAGTGGTAGGGATCCCAATTTTTTGATACCAACTCACATGGTAGAGTTGTCATCTCTCCATTGGTAGATGCAATTTTGTAATATTAACTTGAAAGGCCTACCAATAAAAGAATGGCCGCTCATATACCACGTGAATTGGTATTAAAAAGTTGGGATTTCTAGCATTATTCCGCACGAAATGGCAATGTACTTGAAATATATAAGATGGTAGGACGGTTGAAAAACATCAAAATCAGGGTTGAATATATAGGCAAAAAATAAATCTCTTTCTGGCTTCTTGAGTATGGAGGGTGTGCAACAATACTGTCTGTTTCTGCAATGTTCCGATCTGTTGTGGAATTCTACTGACTTTTAGTTTCTGGTCATTGTTGACTAATGATATATTTCTGCAACCAGGGAATTGGCATTCTGATTTCGGGGTTGTTTGGAACTGTGAATGGGTCCTCAGTATCTGTGTAAGAATATTAACAAGGACGGACTTAAGCTGTTTAACTTTCTATCTTTAACTAGGAACTGAACTTCCACTTTTACCTGAAAACTTCCCTTTAATATGGGCAGAGAGAATGCTGGTCTTTTGGCTTTGACACGCGTTGGCAGTCGAAGGGTGGTGCAAATATCGGCGGGATTCATGATATTTTTCTCCATTCTTGGTAAGTTGGTAATATATGAGATATTCTGGAATTAGGATTCTACTTGGAACAGTTTTTACTTATAATTACTCATTTTCTAACCATTACAGGGAAGTTCGGAGCTGTATTTGCTTCAATCCCGGCTCCCATCATTGCTGCTCTGTACTGCCTTTTCTTCGCTTATGTTGGTATGAGCTTTGATTTAACCATTTAACAAGCAGATGTGTGATTTCTGATTCATTTCTTGAGTAGTTTAAGTGAGCTATATCTTCTTTTCTTTTCTTTTCTTTTTTTTGGTAAAATGTGAGCAACATTATATTATGTTTTCTTCCATATGTGCAGGCTCGGGAGGTCTTAGCTTCCTGCAGTTCTGCAACCTCAATAGCTTCCGAACAAAGTTCATCCTCGGCTTCTCTATCTTCATTGGTTTGTCTGTACCGCAGTATTTCAATGAGTACACAGCAATCAACGGTTACGGTCCAGTTCACACCGGCGAAAGATGGGTAGGGACCAGATGTCCTTTTTCTTTTGTCTTTAAAGTGCTTAAGCTTTAGTCAATGTCATGTGATGGTTAATCATGAATCTCCACATAATGCCTTTCCTCTATGCTTGGCAGTTTAATGATATCATCAACGTCCCCTTACAATCAGAAGCGTTTGTCGCGGGCTGCGTGGCGTATTTCCTCGACAATACGTTACATAGGAGGGATGGCGCAATCAGGAAAGACAGAGGTAAACATTGGTGGGACAAGTTCAGGTCCTACAAGGGTGACACAAGAAGTGAGGAGTTTTATTCTCTTCCATTCAATCTAAACAAATACTTCCCATCTGTGTAATTTTTGGGGATGTTGAGTTACGACGGAGTTCTCTCTTATCGAGTAACTGATCCGTCTGAAGTTATCTCACTAGCTCTTTCTCCCTGCTGTAACGTTATAAAACCATTGTTGTTAATTGTGCATCTTTTTCACACGCTTAAGCAAGTATTAGCTTAGTCTCTTTCCTTTTGTATGACGCTTTTAGTACAATTTCATTCCATTATATTCCTTGCTGTAAATCCAACTAAGGGAAAGTGAATCTAAAGTAGCAATGAAGTTTGTCTGCTCTCCATCTGTTTTGTTCTTCCGTGAGGTTTGAAGAGAAAGTACAGAGAAAATGGCGTACCAAATTAGTTATGCAATCTCTTTTTTGAGAAAATTCATGGTAGCTTGGTATGTTGAGAAACGTCAGCCTTGAACGAATATGTGTATTTTCTTTTTGACACAATGCGGGATCGAACCGTATTCTCTTACATTCCGTTTGGTAGAAGGGATGAAGGGTAGGAATGGTAGAAAGAGTTGAACGAGATGTGTAATATGAAGGATGTAAATGATTATAGTAGTAATCTTTCTATGTTGTTTTTTTTTAAAAAAAAAAAAAAAAAAAAGAGAGTTGAAAGGATAATTGGTGTCTATTTTATTATTTGCTAACAATTATTTTAGAGCGTAAAATATTCTTGTAATCTTAAGGGTGGTTCAAATTAGGATTCAAATTAGTGATTTTGATTATGATTTTTGAAATTTAAAAATTTTTTTTAAGAGAAAAATACTGTAGCAGAATCAAAATTACGAGTTTAAACTCATTAAGAACTCATGGAACAAGCGTATACTAAATTTGTTAGATTTTATATACACGTAAACTTATGAAAGAATCTAAATTGGTGGGTTCAAAGGAGAGTCTCTCCATTCTCTTAGCCCTCCAACCAAACAATGGATTTGTCCTCCTCCCCATCCCTCTTCCTCTAACACACTCCAAAACAAAAGCCTTATCCTATCCCATTTTATGCCATAAAAACTTTGGTGTAACTTATTTAAAACAACAATTATATAAATTGTTTTTTTTCTTTTTTATAGAAAAAGAGTGAAAGAAAGAGAAAAAAAGACCAAAGAAATAAAAACGAAAGCGGAAAAAGATATAAAGCAAAAGATAAGGAAAAAAGTCTAAAAAGTTATAAAAAAACGTTTCGCTTAATGGAGGAAAAAAACTCCTCGCGAAAAATTATTTAAAGCTCGTTCATTTTACCGATTCGAGTTTTCAGTTTAAGTTTATACAGTAAAAAGCTCTCAGAAAATATCACATATAACTTTTTCTGCTACAGTGAAAAGCTCTCAGAAAATGTCACGTCTAAACTCGAATTAAAAACTCGAATCCGCGAAGTGAATGATGCCTTAGTAAAAACGAAATGAGGAAAAAAAAAAGTGCAATTAATGCACTACACCGCATGAAAAACGCACAAAAGGGTATTGAAATCGCTTAACGAAACGGCACTAAAAAAACCCATTCTTGTTTATATATGTTTTAAATGATTTAAAGGATTATAGTCCTTAATTGGAATTATGGAATTGCAGACACTATGCAGGGAAACTATGACCTCAGTACTGGTTTGAGGGATGTTTCGTATGCAGCGTAGTCAATAAGGCCAAGTTTGAGAATAATTCATGGTCTACACTTGATTACTAATAAGTGATATATATATATATATATATATATAATGATATAGAAGGACCAGCTTGCCTTGTTGGACCCATTGGGGCATTAAGACATGAATATAAGTGAGAACACATGAAGAAAGTTATTAGTCATCACTTTTAGGCGTAAATGGTATAAATATATACACAATGAGAACTGAAGTGAATATTCTTCTGTTATGGTCAAATGGCAGAAAACATGGAGGCTGAAACTGTTCTTGAAGCCTGAAATGAAATTGATAGTAAATGAGTTCAATAGGAAACTTTTATGATGTCAGGAGAAAATTCACAGCACTGGGTCGGGAATACTACAACTCAGTGCATTTTATATTGGAATTTACGAACTTCAAACTTTGAAGTTATAAAGTTACGATATACTTGCACATTTGAATGATGTACTTGTGAAATTTGAATGTTGAAGTTGTAAAAGTTATGGATTGGTATGAGTGCCGTGAAGATAACATAAAAAGGGTTTGATATTCTTGTGTGATAATTAAAGATTGATCTAAAAAGTTTATTCTCTGTTGTGTTAAACATTATGGTCAAAACTGATTCCTAAGATTTCATTTGGTAATTGATAGTACATGGGCTCACCGTTTTGGTTCAAAAAAAAAAAAAAAAAAAAAAAAAAAAAAAAAAAAAAAAAAGAAAGAAGACTATTGTCCTCACGCGGTAATGAGATTTATCTTATGTCAAAAATCAGTTAGATATTTGAAAATTGTTTTTCTATGCATTTGATGGTAAATCTTTTAAGAATTATTTACTCAAAATTATTTGCTTATCTAAGCAATTCGAGAAGAGTCAAAGATGTAAGAACGTACCTGAGTTGAAGCTACCTAACATTTACATGCACGTTTAGTTCGCTGATTTGAGTTTTTAATTTGAATTGAGATGTAATTTTATGTGAGAGTTTTTTATTGTAATAAAAAAGTTAAATGTGACTGTTTCTGAAAATTTTTTATTATAACAAAATTTGAATCGGTGAAATGAACAGGACTGACCCACTATAAATAATTTGTGAAAGGAAACACATCACACACATGTCATCATAAACAACTTATTAGGATTCAAGAAAAACAAAAATTATTTAGCATCACTCGCTTTTTGGCTTACGCGAGGACATAAATTTTTATTTTTTGGGGAAATTATACATGTGACGACATTCGTATGGGCATAAATAAAGGTGAAAGAAACAGAAACCAACTCGTTACAAAAATCCCCAATACATCTTGTGTGCTGTTTGGTGGAGATCTAAATAGAACCCTTAAATGCCAAAGGAAATCACAAATATTGGGACCTACAAAATACAGAGGTCGAAAGAAACAAAAACCAGCTCTTAACAAAAATTTCAAAAATGCTGTCCTCGCTGTTTGGTGGAGGTGTCTAGTTAGGACCATAAATGCCAAGGCAATGACAAGGGGACCTACAAAAATGTTGCATTTTCCACCCTATTCAATTCTTGAAAATGAGAAGAAGCTGAATTGTACCCACTAGTTTTTTTTTTTTTTTTCAATAAAAAAAAATCAAGCACAAATATTTTGAAAGTTGAAGATTCTAAACAAAATGAGGGGTTTAACATCTTTCATTTAATATTTAAATTGATGTAGTATTATACTCCCCCATAAGTTTGGCCATATTTTGAGCAAAATAAGAGTGCATTGTTTAGTTGGGATTAACTTAATCAGCCATTTTTATACCTAACATTTCACATGACATGGATATACTAAGCACATTAAAGAAATGGTTTTCAAGATTTGGGCCTCTCAGATCAGGGTTGTATCAGTTGTAAAGTGCACTTATTATACGGAAATAGTAAAAAATAGACCAATATGAAAAGCTTAAGAAAGTATATAGGCCAATTTTTAGTTATAGAAATTAATAGGCCATAACTTGTCAAGTTATGGTTCATAGCCAGATAAGTTATGGACAAACTTGTCAAGTTATGGTTCATAACTTGACAAGTTATGGACAAAAACCGTGAATAACTTGTCAAGTTATGGTTCATAACCAGACAAATTATGGACGAAAACAGTAATTTGGCCTATTTATTAACTTATGTAAACTATTGGCTTATTAATTTTAATTCATCTCAAATCTTGGCCTATTTTCCTCTTTCTCCCCTTATTATAATTCTTATTTCCTTCCATTCCTTTCTTTCCATTTGTAACATCTAACCTCAAATCCCATTTAGTTTTATGGTTTTTCTAACATTTGTTTGGTAAATTTTGACCCAATGATCTATAAATATCCCCCAAAAAAAAACCTTATCCACCCCCCCCCCCCCCCCCCCCCCTTTTTTTTTAACAAGTTGCTTATTAGAATTACATTATCATGGACATTGCAACATTAATTTTTCTTTGGCTAAAAAAAAAAAGAAAAAAACTCCTCCTTCCTTAATCAAAATCACTTGTTAAAGGCATGTCACCAAAATTAAACCCCTTCACTCATTTACTCTCTCTTTCTTTTTTTGAGATAATTGCACTACATAGCAAATTTCATACCTTAGGTGAAATTTAGCAAAATTTTCATAATATTAGAAAAATAGAAAAAATGATACATGACTTATCATAATAACGCCATATTTTGTACTATAATTATTTTAACGATATCAATTTTGTTATTATTGTTATAATATTTTTAAAACTTTGCTATATTTCAATTTTACTATTTAAATTTTGCTATGGAATATGGGGGAAAAAAAAAGAAACTTTAGTGATAGTACATAGTTCTAAACTGTGAATAATTGACATCAAGTTCATATTAACGAAAAGAATATATGATAATTTAATAGAATTTGATGAAAATATAACATGTAAATCTGTATCTTATCTTCTACTCTATAAATAAATAATTCTAAAGATAAGGTAGGAAATTCAACAAAAGAGTCCTATGTGTCAGAAGTTCTCATATATATATATATATATATATATTTAATGATCATTATACACGCTTTCTTATTTCTGCAGCTAAATGTGAAACCAAAGTGGGGAATTTTCCCATGTAGATAGATATCGAAGTTCCCAATCGTTTGCAGGATTTTGCTCATCTTCACCACTGATTTTAATGCTTTTGGGGTCAAATTACAGACCTATCTAGTTGTCATGGTGTTAGTTTCTCGAGATCTAGACAACTCCACTTTGGCATTTGACCTTGTTGATTTCAATTTTCATGCATAAAAATGTTCAAGCATGCGCTATATAATTTATTTTCCCTCCTTTCCCTAAATAAATATAGGATTCTTTATTACATAAGAAAAAGTAACATCATCTCTTAAAAAGTTGTTTTTTACATTCTTTAATCTACCTACTTAAATTAAATGTGTTTGTTTGCATATGAACGAGTTTTTAATAATTACACTTTTATTAGTGGTTACTCGTATTAAATATAAAAATTCAATGACTTAATGTGATAAGAAGTCGTAAATTTTTTATCAACTACTCAATTAATTACCATCTGATTAATATCTTACAGTTAAAATAACGACATCTACTAATGAGTAAATATTGGAGTAACTTTTAAAATTACACTAATATATATTACATATATTATATATGTAATATAGTGATGTTGATTCTGTTAGCATAGTTTTGTGTTTGATA